TATCATTCTTCTTTGCATCTTTTGCATTGCATTTGTATGTATTGATAACTTTTTCTTAGGAAACAAGAAAACAATATTAATTAAATAATTGTATATCTCACCTTCATGACCAAAGCATATTATATAAGATAACATTTCAGGAGTAGTAATTTATTATCTGTATACAAGCTGTCTGCTTTTGCTGACATTACCAAATAAGTGCTTGCGCTATGACATAGGGTCACAAACTCGCTGCAGCTGTAGCCTTTGTTTGCCTTTAAACAAGTGACCTGTGAATATCTATAGAGCATGTCTTTATTAAATGAACTCAAACTGTTAGAGCCAGGACAGTATAACGCAGGTTTCAGTGACCTTTAGTCAGAGCTAAAATAATTACACTGGGGATCAACAAATCCTGGACTGAATAAATGTTAAAATGGTGACAAAAAGGCTAAAATAAGGGTCACTTACTATACATTTGTTATAGACCATTACATTTATCTGGATAAAATTAGGCTTCACAGCTATGTGTTCATTATCTTAAGCCATTATTGTTTTAAAGCATTTGTATGTTTCATTCAGTAGCCCTGTTGGTATAATGCTTTGGTATTTATTCATATATTTTGCGGTGGACTAAAAACCTTTAGAGAATTTTATTAATTCAAGGGTTAGTTACCCAAAAATGTAGGAATCTGTTTTTGGCAGGCATTAAAATATCTAAACATTTCTCTCCAGAATTTCAGTAGTAAGATTTTGTTGGTTGATTATTGCCCCGTATAGTTTTCAATAATTTTTCATGAGAAATAATGCAGTAGGAAATGTAAGAACACCCAGGGTGGGTAAGGACACCTAAAACCTTAAGATGTGCTGATAGTATGGGAAAATAGAAGGCCTGAGGTGGAGTTTTTTGCATGAAATACACAAAGCCAGAAAAGGGATCTCTTCCAACACTCTCCACTTAAAGCTAAGCTATAATTTATGTGTGGAGTCAGCATATATTTTAACAATAAATGTAACAAATGTAAAACTACACACAAAATGTTTCCAACCTAGTAGGAACTTCTGGAGATTAATAGTATAACCTTGCTCTGAAACTATCATGTAGTATCATGAATGCAGTCTGTGGTAAATTATAAATAGTACGCACAAAATTTTCTATAAATGAAAAAAAAATAGTAAACCACAATGTAGAAAAAAAAATTACTAAAACCAAAATATTTTGGATAATTATTTTTTTAAATAAGTCCTTGGTACAAACATAATGAAAGCAAATGTAACCCCTAACTGAATGATATTTAAAGGGTTATTCACAAAGCTGCCAAAGGCAGCCGAGTGAATAACCCACCTGAAGTGAAGTGATCCGAACGATGTTCGGCTATTCACTTCAGGCCTGTACGGCTGATTTTAGACATACATCAGCTTGCTTCGGCTGGCTTCAGTTCGAAGCAGAAGGAGTTCGACTCAGCCGATCCAACATCACTCGCTGCAGTTCTCCCCTTTTGAAAGAAAAAAGTAGAACAAAATGTTTACAAATGTAAATAAATGATGAATCTAAAAAAAGAACTAAAGATTTCCTTAACCCCTTCGTGACGGGAGACGTACACAAAGCCACAAAGGGACCAAATGACTCCTCACGTACACTGTACGTGACGAGTTATTTGCTGCTTTAGAGGGCTGTTAACCGCTGAGAATCAGCTTTTAACATTCATTAATGGATGCCCTTACTACAGAGGCATTCATTAATGAAAGGGTTAACCTTTTTCAGACACCCGATACCTTAATATCGGGTGTCTGAGAGTCAAAGCAGAGGGACACACATGCCGGCTTTTGCCGGCATTCTGACAGCTCGTATAGATCGAGAGAGATATCTCTCTCAAGCTATACTGGCTTTTTTTGAAAGGAGAATGTTTCAGTTTGCTGAACGTTGTTGCAACAATCAGAAAACATTTAGTGGTGTATATTACTGACATGGAAGAATCACACAGCAAAAATGTCAAAAGTGTGTCAGTCATTTACGAACAGAAACTAAAAACAAGCTCAGTCATGAAGGGGTTAAAGAAGAAACTAAAAAAATAAAACAATTGGGCGGAGCTAGCAGTGAGAGCTAGCTCCGTCCAAATGTTTTCTATTGGCCGGGACCTGCTAGAGTCTTCTAGCAGGTCCCGGCCAATGAATAATAACTTGGCGGAGCTGGCCACAACATCACGGCCAGCTCCGCCCAGTTGTCATTGTTTAATGACAGTTCAGCGTCCCCAGGTAACCTAAACACACTGATCTGTCATTGCAACTGGGTAGAGCCAGCCGTGAGATCATGGCTGACTCTGCCCAGCTGTCAGGTGCGAGGCTTTCGACCTGCTTCGGGTGTCACTTCGGCTCAGTCAAGCCGAAGCATATGCCTTTGGCTCGGCTGACTTGCTCGGCCAGCTTCTGGAGCGAATAGCCCGTACAGCAGCCCTTTGGTTCCACTGAACCGAAGGGCTCCGGTGGCCGAAGCCAGATGAATGATCAGCTGGAGATACTGCTGATCCTTCGACTAGCTTTGTGAATAACCCTCTTAGTGTTGATGTGTGTCATGCCTCTGTAAGGTGCTCAAATTGTTGCTTGTAGCATAGAACGCTATGTAACATGGTTAAAAAGAATGAGTGTTTGTCACCCTCTAATAGGAAGTGCCACAATATGGTTCTTCATGGCAGGATCACCAAGTATGATGCCTGTCGATTTATTTTGTGTCATCTGTTTCACAGAGGTAAGATTTTTCTGCATTTTCTTTCCCTGGCACTCAACAAGATGTAAGAGAACATTTCTACAAATGGGGGAATTCCCCTCTTTAACAGTTGTCAACAGAACTGGTGTCCCCTTTGGAAGATTTACCATTACCTTTTGTTCTGACAAACTGCAATATTTAGAATTCGTAGCACTTGCCGTCCTTGTGCAGAAGTCACAAAGACAACAGATTGTGAGTCTACCTAACAAGAACACACATAACATTTTGGCTCTACATACACGTCACCTGTATGCATGTTTAACCAATAATTCCCTTGTTATTCTATTTAAGAGGTAATCCTGTTAGCCATAAGTCTGTGCATGACATTATTTCCTGTAATTGCGCTGTTTAGACTTACTGGATGCCTATTATATCTGCAAATGAGTCTGGTACTGGCATTCATAATGGATTATACTAGGACAGAATATAAGAAATAATTGTAGTATGATTTATTTGCATACTGTAGCACCATAAGCTCTTACCAGAGATTTCATATCCCAAACCTTTTATGAGTGCAATTTTCAGTTAGTGGCTTATCAAGATTCCAATACTGTTTTTTTTTTTACCTCGTAAAATATAAATTTGCCCCTAATATGTATGTAAATACATTTATTGCAGATTGTAATTCCTTACACAAACTGCTTTGACTTTTCTGTGCTTTCATCTTCATATTCTATTCAGACCTCTTGTTAGTAGACTTTGTACTTTGGTACTATTACAAAGCTAGACTTAGCAAAAGCAGCTTATTGTCAGTCAAGCATTATTTTTATTCTAATTAAAACATCTGAATCAAAACCAGTTTTTACTAATTACTTTACATGGATGGTATTAGTTATAATCAACTGGAAAATAGATCTTAAGCACACAGTTTATATATAGAGCGGTGTTTGCAAGCTCCAAAGTGCTGTTTAAATTTCATTTTAGCAAATGTTGCTAAGAGACCATTTCTAGTGTGGCAACTGCTTAAGGTCAGATTTCAGTCAGTCCTTGTGATTTGCTGGAACTTTGTTGAAGACCAAATGTCATCCTGCATTGATCTCAATAACAGCTGTATAAATATATTGACTGTTTACATATTTTTAACTTCTGAAATTACAGAAATGATTAGTGGAGAATGTGGACAGATTCTATCTAAAAGACTACTTTGAATTCAAAAAAGTTCCTTTTGTTAGGATGTTTTAGTTAAAAATGTGTTTAGCCCATAACTGAGTAACTGAATTAAGATGTGAAACTGTTCTGTATATAAATGTAAAGCTAAGCTCCAGAAATAAAGCTAATTGCACATTTGAAATATATTTACACGAATCGTGTTACCTGGCAAAAGATTTGTAGTCTTGTTCAGCCAGTTTTGTGATTGCCTGCCAGACTACACAGTCAGACAGGTGATAGACTGCTGATTCACTGCCCAATGATCAGACAGGTGGCAAAGAAAGCTATGAAGCAGAACCAGCAAATAAACAGTCATCTTCCTTGCTACGCAGTGTTGCAAGGATGTGAATCACAAGACTGTCAAAACTGAATTATAAATCCTTGGCGCGTAAAACAGTTCACATTTATTTATACCAGCTGCATTGCACTTGCCCTAGCTAGGAAGAAAAATGTGCTTTAAAGTAACATAAATTTAGCTTTGAAAACATCAAAGTAATTGTATTTTTAGGGAGGTTGCCCTTTCTTTATGTATATGAGTACCACACATACTTTAGCTGGCAGAACAATCTGCATTCACTTAAGAAGTCCACAAAACTTTGCATGTGAACCTTTGGAGCATTTATAAAGCTGCAAAGTTTTTACATGCTAATCTGCAGTTCAGCTGCATTTTTATGTTTTTCAGCTTTGCTTAAACCATGAATGAGGCACAACATAGCATTCCTATGCAAAACTAATTCAACAAGGTAGATATGCCATGCCCCCTGAAGGCACTACCCAGTCAGAAAGCACCACTGTCCCTCTGTCATAGAAGTAGTTTTGTTCCCAGGCAAATGGCATATTTCCCCCTCCTCCCCATTTTAATGATCACCTCTCCAGATCAGGTTCTCCAGAGTCCTGACAGCTATTGAAATTGTATACAGCACACATCTGGGCAGGACAGCAGTGGGATTTAATAGTGTTTTGTTATATTATATTTGGTGTTCTGCTAATATGGACTGTTCTATCATGTTTAGGGAAACAAATGTCCCTTTAAAACAGAGTGTGTACAGTTGGTGTAAAGTAATATGCAGATGCAGAATGGTGGAATTCATATTACTGATATAATAGTATTTCAATAATTTTATCACATCAAAATAAATAAAATGCATAGGCTGAAATCCATATCATCATATTTTATTTGTAACAGAAGTTCTATTTGTATTTACAAATATAAAGCAAGAAAGTGGTAGTAGAGTGCTCAATTAGATGTGCTGAATTACATAATTATTGGAAGGCTTGAATAATTTAATTACAGTGCATCAAGAGAACACAGCAGTGCTAAGAAAATCACCAAGTAAATAATCTAGTAATCTTATCATTCTCCTAAGAGTTCCATTGCCTGCTGTCTATAGTTTAGTGGTTTACAAAAAAAGTCACTCAAGAGAGTGGTGACTTTGACAAAGGATAAGAAAAATATGTAAAAGGAATATTGACTTCTATTTGTGAATTTAGGTCTTTCAGTTAGTTTTTGAGTGTGATTTTTGGTTGTCAGTATCAGTAAAGGTTTGATTAATTCACCACATTTACATCATTTAAAATGTTTACATTTTTTCTCCTGCATCCAATACTTTTGGTTCTATGTTTAAATTGAGAATATAGTGATATTGTATACATGTTTTTATTCTACATAAAAACACAGACGGTTATTCACTAAGCTGTTGGAAGGCAGCCGAATGAATAACCAAGTCAGAAGAGAAAGCCTCTTTGGTTATTCACAGCAGCCCTGTACAGCTATTCTTAGCTTTACATTGGCTGCATTTGGCCGGCTTCACTTCCCTTTGGCTCAGCCAAACACCCTCAGCAAGTTCGGCTGAACCGAAGGGAAGAATCCGTTTGCCTCAGCTGATGTAACATCTGGATCGGCTGAGATGAACATTCGGCAAGTCATTCTCTGCTGTTCACCTCTATTCTCTACTCTCTCTGTGTTTTTATCTATCTTTTGCAAACTTGCAGGGAGTCCAGGTTGCTGGTACATGGTTTTCTGCAGTATATAGTTGTTATGCTGTGTAATTCAATCCCCAGGTATTTCACTCTGGGAGTAGTTCAATCCCCAGATATTTGGCTCTACTGAAAACACGCAGATAGCTGAACGAGCCAGAGGGATAGATACCCCCCTTCTCGGGATGCTAATACAAAGCCATATTGCCTTTCAAATATAAGGTAGCAGTGCAAATAAAATGCTGACCTTGTAAAGGCCACTGTGAAAGGCCAATGTATTCCATTTTCACTTGTTAAAAAATTATACACGTAGAGAAGAAGAAAATATTTGCAACATTAGTTAAAAAGTGAAAACATTTAAACGAAATAATGCAAATGTACCAGGTACCATTATAATTTAATTATATTAAGTTAGTGTGTAAAAATAAAAACATACTTTGCAGTCAAGTATTGAATTTGAAAGAAAAAGAAAACGTTCATATTAGTGTCAATAAAGAATTCCTAGTAGAAACTACCAGAGTATCAGCTCCTAGGCTGTTCTAAGCATCTACTTTTATTTGTTGCAAAGATGTAGAAGAAAAGAAGAGCCAGCACCAGTTACATTTAGCCTGCTTATAGTTGTCTAATTCCCTTAGCTTAGTGAATTAGGTGAAACTCTTCTGACCGCCATCATCTAATGATGTTCAGGCAAAATAACTGTTGTTTTTTTCCATTGCACATGATTGGGTATTTCTTACAAAGTGAATGTTCACCACATTCACTAAATTGAGGGAAAATTCCCTTACAAAGTGAAAATCCCTGTGCAGAGTGAACAACCTATTTTCCTTTAGTACATTAACCCCACAGAAATTGG